TGGGGTCTTCTCCCAGCTTTCCCAGAGCAGATGGTCTGACTCAGTGCTGGAGCCCTTCTTTGCACCCAGCACTGTGTTCCAGGCTTCCTAATTCCCTGGGGAGGGGAATTGCCAGGGCCAGGTACCCCCGTGGGTGCATCAGGACCCAGTGTGCAGACACCCACAGCTGTACAGCAGCCAAACTGGTGCCTGGGTCTGGGGAGCTCCACCTCAGAGCTGCTGTGCTGCTGCAGCTGTGACTCCACTGGCTCCCAACCCAGCCATAACAATTAGACTTGGCAATCATTAACTTAGCTGAGTAACAACATGAGCTTTCTAATACAGCTCGTCCGCCAGGTTTTCAACAATCCTAACTGCCTGAAACCTGAGGACATCTGGTACACCAAGCAGCCTAATTTTTCCAGCTCAGCTGAACATTTTCCATTTGCATGCACTTTGCATACATTTTCAGCTGCAGCATCTTCCCTCTTCCCTGCATCTTCCTTCCTGCTTCCTTCTCTATTTGCACAATATCTCACTGCTTTCTTCCTGTGTTTTGGCTTTGCAATCCCCACATCTCTAGCCCACTTCCACTTATCTCACTGCCAGTCTTTGCTGGTGCCACAGGCACAGAGCTCTCTTCTTTGGTTTTGCCATCCTGCTCCTTTTCTCACTGTTAGTTCCACTTTCTCTCATCCCCTTAATTGCCTCATGCTTCATTTTACCTTGTTAATTGCTCACTCTTGTCTGGCTTTTTCTCATTTCAATAGATGCAACTATTAATACTCTTACTGTTTACAAGCCACCAACTCCTCCATCATTCCGCTCCCCAGCTGGACAGGGGAGAGAAAATATAATGAAAGCTTGTGGATTGAGATAAAGAGAGGGAGAGATCACTCACCAGCCATTGTCATGGGCGAAACAGATTTGTTTCAGTGAAAAGGAATTTAATTTCTTTAAAATTATATCAGAGTGAGACAATGAGAAATAAAAGCTAAATATTAAAACATCTTGCCCCTACCCCTCCCATCCTCTGGGTTCAGCTTCATTCCTGAGTTTTTCTACCTCCTCCCCTTCCTGCAGCACAGAGGGATGGGGAATGGGGGTTGCAGCCAGTTAAACATGCATTGACTCTGCTGCTCCTTCCTCCTCAAGGGCAGGACACTTCACTGTTCCCCCACTCCCATGTGGATTCCCTCCCAGAGGAGACAGTCCTCCACAAGCTTCTCCAATGGGATCCTTCCCATGGGCTGCAGTGCTTCATGAACTGCTCCAGTATGGGTCCCTTTCCAAGGGGTGCAGTCCTTCAGGAACAGGCTGCTCCAGCATGGGTTCCCTGTGGGATCACAAGTCCTGCCAGCAAACCTGCTCCAGTGTGAGCTCTTCTCTCCATGGCATCCTCAGGTCCTGCCAGGAGCCTACTCCAGTGTGGGATTACCACAGGGTCGCAGCCTGCTTTTGGGCATCCCCCTGCTCTGGCATGGACCACAGGGGACTGCAGGGGGACAGCTGCCTCATCGTGGTCTTTACCAAGGGCTGCAGGGGAATCTCTTCTCCAGTGACAGAAGCATCTCCTCCCTGTCCTTCTGCACTGACCTTGGTGTCTGCAGAGCTGTTCCCCTGACATATTCCCACTCCTCCCTCTGGCTAGAATTGTGCCTTTTCTTACTTTCTTAAATCTGTTACCCCATAGGAGCTACCACCACTGCTATGAACTGGCCTTTGCAGGCAGCAGGCCTGTCCTGGAGCTTCCAGGCTTTGGCTCTGTCAGACACAGGGGAAGCTTCTGGCAGCTTCTCACAGAAGCCACCCTGGATGCTCCTCCACTACCAAAACCTGGCCACACAAACCCAGTACAAACATGCACCTCTATTCTCTTTGCTTTGTAACCTCAGTGAAAGGCTGGACTCCTCCTCATGAAACTCCTCCTCCTCATCAGGCCCCTGCCCCCACATTCAGTCAGCATTGTTTTTGTGGAAGCCTCAAAATGACCTCCTCTTAGGCAGCTCCAGCTCTCCCCTCCACTCCCATCACCTGTCAGGCACTTGCCACAAGTCAGCTCCGCCTGAGAGGTTATTCTCTCTCATTTGAAGCTCTGCCCTTCCCTTTCCCTTCTCTCACTTGACCACCATGCCTTTTGGACACTCCTCTTTATCTTGCTCTTCAGACTCTAGAATAGGTGTTATAAAATTTTGTTCTCATCCTCTTTCTCTTCTATCTCCATGTAATCCCTACCACAAACATAAATTCTCCTGCCAAGCAGCTTGAAAACCCAGTTCTCTATTCAGATTGAGCTCTAAAAGAGAGATCAACCCAACAAAAAGTTAAAAGGTACAGCATAGTTGTCTCTATCTACAATGGCTCCATCTAGGCTTACATTACAGCTAATCCTGTAGGAGGTATCTAAAGCCAGCCAGGACAGGCACTCAGGAAAAAGCTGTTTCCTTTCCCAACTAAAAAGGGAGCCCCAGCTGAATGGATTGATGACTGCACTGTAGACATTTCAAACTGGGCAAGATGAGTCATAGACCCTTTTTTCCAAACACATCCTTGCTGAGCTCCCTGATGCCTGCTCAGATAAGCCTTGCTGTCAGTTGAAGCTCAAGCTTGGCTAAGCCAGCCAAGTTCATCCCACGGCCCCTCAGCTGCTGTTCCGGCCAATGTTCACTTATGCCTCTGACAGGGGGAACAGCTTTGGTCCAGACTTCTCCTCATGTCCTTATCTAGATCATACCCAAACCTTGGAAGCATTGTTGCACAAATAATTCCAGACATGAAGCCCCTCTGTCTCCATGCGTGAAGATAAGGCTCTCGTCCACGCTGAATTGCCACTTTGAACTGCGCTTACTGCCAAAGCACTTGTCCTTCCCTCAATAAATGCAGCCCTGTCCTGCACACAATCACTCTACATGTCTTTGCAAAGGATGTGGATCTGGCTGGTCCTCCCATGCTGCCAAGCCTATCTTTGCACTTCTCCCTTAGCTCCCTGCTCTCTGTCACATCAGATGAGAGCAGCCTGTCCTCACTTTCAAGCCCATCCCAGATCTGTCTCTGTCGTGCACAGCCTCCCATGTGTGACAGCCAGCTCTGCCATCATCCATCAGCTGGTGACCAGGGCCAGGCTTCCTTCTCTGCAGGCAAATTCTGTCTCACCAAAACCCTGGGACTGTGCACAGCCTCCCCCAAGGTCAGGGGCTGGGCTGGCCCGTGCAATCCTCATGGTGGGCTCCTTCTCTGTGACCTGTGCTCTTCTATGATGCCAATTAATAGATCTGAAATGGCAACAGCAGCCACCAAATCACAAAAAAGATTTGCATAATAGTATAAAGAATGACAACTCTTTATCCTATTATGCAAAGAGTGTGAAAAGTGCATATTATATGGCTCTAAGCAGATATTTACTATATGTATTATGTTGTATTAATTAGTAGTGCTGTATTAACATTTCAATGGTATGGTAAATGTAGTTTTGTAGTTAAAATGTAACTTTTGTAGTCAAAATAGAAACTATGTATGTGGGATAATATTTTAAAGAGAGGAATGAGCTACTTGCACCGAGATAGCAGCCACAGGGTACCTAAATCTTTCAGAGAACAAGAATTTATTGCTCCATTGTCTTCCCACCTCACTCAGCCCTGAAGATGCTGTCAGGATTAAGAGGAAGAAGTTGACAGTGACCAGACAGAATCCTTTGTTTGAATGGAATTTATGCATCATGTATGAGGTGTATAAATATGCAACAGGCTGTTGTTTTTAAGGGTTAATCCTCTGTTAACGTGTGTCCCAGACCGTCAATAAGTCTTTGTTTTTATTGTCTAATATTGTCCTAATCTCAATTGTTCAAATTTTTATTACTCTAATTATTACTCTAATATTTTTAGAACTATTTTATTACTATTAAACTTTTAAAATTCTAAAAACAAGTGATTGGCATTTTTCACAAGAGGCATAGCTGTAATTTAGGGATAATGTATGCTGGAAGAAATTAAATGCCTTTGCCACCCCTTTGATGATGCTGCACTTAGAAGCATTACACATTTCATAGAGTCATAGAATGGCTTGGGTTGGAAGGGACTTTAAAGATCATTTTGTTCCAACAGCCCTGCCATGGGCAGGAATGCCTTCCACTATACTATTTCTTTATGAATACCTGAAAATATAAGTCAAAGAATGTTTTGACCACATTAAAATACATACACTGAAAGGAGTAGCATTAGACTTGCACTTTTGACTTCATACTTACGTTTTCTCCTTTCAGTGACTAACAGTGTAACATTAATTTCATATTAATTTGTTGGGGGTTTACATACAATTTCTTATTAAAATTAAGAGGAAAACTGCAGCTAAATAGCCTGCTGCTAAAAGCCTCCCCTTTTTAAATCCTTTTAAGTGTGTGACCTAATGACTGGCATTTCAGTACCAGAAGGGAACCTACAAGAAAGATGGACAGGGACTTTTTAAAAGAGCATGACAGGAGAAGGGGGAATGGATCCAAACAAAGAGTGTAGGTTTAGATTAGATCGTAGGGAGAAATCTGATACTGTGAGGGTGATGAGGCCCTGAAACAGGTTGTCCAGAGAAGCTGTGGATGCTCCATTCCTGGAACTGGTCAAGGCCAGGCTGAAAAGGGCTTTGAGCAACCTGGTCCAGCGGGAGGTGTCCCCGCCCGAGGCAGGGAGGCTGTAACTCGATGATCTTTAGAGTCCCTTCCAACCCAAACCATTCTGTGATACAATGAACTCCAGACAGACCGCGGGGGAAGGGGGAGGAGTGGGTGAGCGGCTCCTGCCATGAGACGGACACAAGTAGGCAGGGCCAGCTTTGCCTTCCCCTGCCGGCGGTTCCCTCACGGCGGGGCAGAAGAGCAGAGCCGTCCCCACGGACGGGCTCCGCAGGGGGCCGGTCCTGCCGGCCCAGGAACTACAGCTCCCAGTGTGCCCCGCGACAGACAGCAGCCACCGGGGCAGGGGCGGGAACGGAAAGGGGCGGCCGCACAGCACGCCGGGATCCGTAGTCCAGAGACCGCCGTCGCCAGCGCCTGGGGCCGTGTCCCGCGCATTTGAAAATTCCCGCGGAGGTTCGCTGCGGATCTCGCGAGAACTCGGCCCGTCCCCCCACTCCCGTCCCGCCCCCCGCGCGGCGGGTGAGCGAGCGAGGTGGGTGCGCGGGCGCGCGGGGCCGGGCCGTGCCGTTGTCGCCGCTGCGGGAGGGACATGCCACCGGCACCGGCACGTACGGGGAGCGCGGGCTCGGCTGGGCTGGGGGCAGCGGCGCGCACAGGAGGAGGCGGCGGAGGTGGCGGCAACGGCGACCCCCGCCCGCCCGTCTGCCTTCGTTCCTCCCTTTCTTCCTTCCCCCCCCGTACCAGCGCGTAGCGGGCGCTCCCGAGCCGTATAGGCCGGCACCGGCGCTGGCGCAGCGCGGGCCCGCGGGGGCCCCGGGCGGGCCCGGCCGCCCGTCCCTTATGTAAGTGACCCCCGGGCTGCGGCGCCGTGTCCGCCACACGTGCCTCGGCCCCCGGCGGCGGGGGAGGCCCGGGCGGCGCGGCCTGGGCAGCGCACATGGGAGGCTCCGCCAGCCTGGGGGGCGTGGGAGATGCGGCGGCTGCCGCCAGGAGCTTTCCCTCCTGCCCGGCCACCCGCGCACGCCCTCTGTTCTCGCCCCTTGGGCCCTGTTCTGGGAGGGTTTTTCTTTACTTCTTTCCAATTCCGCCTCCCCCTCCCCCGCCGGGCTTCGGGGTTGTATTCCATGAGGAGGCGGGAAATGCGCTCTGTGCCTAGAGCGGCGAGTGCGGGACGGGGGCTGGGTGCAGCGGGGAGGCCGCAGCTCTGGAACAACCCAGTGCCATTTGTGGGGGTCTCTGCACGAAGCAAAACATCGCGAAGCAGAGTTGCTGCTGCCTCAAACAAAAGTGCTCGGTGCCTTCCTTAATAAACTGTGAGCTTGTGTCTGGAGCTTCTGCCGATGGAATGCTTGGTGTCGGTCAGGTCTAGTGATTGCTTCCTCATCGTGGCTGGGGAAATTGGAGGAAACTGAGGGACGTGTTTGTGTCGGGATGGCTGCACCCCGTCGGGGGTACCGGGCTGAGCGTGGCCGTGCCGGTGCCTTTGCAGGGCCCGTCGGTGTGGCTGGTTGTGCCAGCCTTGGCTGGCAGCTGTCCCCTGCGCTTGGGCACACAGCTCTGTGTCCTGGCGAGGACAGCTCCTCATTCACGTGCTGCCTCAGCTCTGCTTCCTGCATCGATTTGCCTGGGATTGGCTTTTTCAAGCGTGATCAAGCTTCTGTGAATTTTATGTCTTCTGCCTAGTAAGTTGTTGGACAGTTTTGGAGGAGCAGTGGTGACAGGTCTTCCTTGGTGTGACACTGGTTTGGTGGAGAGAATAGAATCCTTCAGCTGGCAAGAAAGAGTCACCCTGTTGCGTGGGTTGCAGGTGTTTCTGTAGTTGGTCTTGTCAGGTTGCTGATTGTGAAAATCTGTTGGAGAATTAAATGTTCCAGTTCATCTGGATACAGCCTTGGGCAGCCTGCTCTAGGTGATGGCTCGAGCCTGGTGTTTAGAAGTGACTGTGAGTGATTCTGGCAGATCTTTCCGTTTGATGTGATTCTGGAATTTGTGCTGGGCAGGGCCAGCAATGGGATGGCATACCAGTGTGGTATGCTGGAAATGTCTTCCAAAATACAGTAGAAGAACAAAGGAGCAAATACGGAGATGAGAGATGGCAGCAAGGTCTCTCTTTTGATGTCCGTGAAGTCAACATGTCCTGTGAAATGTTGTCTTCAGCTGTGACTGACCATATTTTTAGCTTTTTCTTCTGTGAGCCCATAATGTTGTTGGCCTTTTAAACTGATTCTTGTGGAATATCATCAGTCAAAATTGTCATCTCAGAACTCTGACTTGGCTGTATGTAATTCTGCATGAACACACAATTTCTCTTTCTCTTTCTTTTCCCTCCTTCCCTCTCCCCCCTCCCAAGCTTTTTAATCCAAAAATTTATGACATTTCTGTCTTTGGAATGCACTAGTTCATGGTGCTTGGAAGTTATAAGTTCCTTGGGTGAAAAAGAATGGTCATTTTGGCGACTTGCACACAGACTGCATTGCTGTAGGATACAGCTGGGAGGTTGAATTCTGGTTTATTCCTGAAAACGGAGTAAGCACGTGACATTTTACCCTAATCTGATTTCTAACAGAATTAAGAATGTGATTGTAGTTATTGTTTCAAAGAGAGCTGAAATGCAGTTGCTGTTGGATATATCTCTTAAGGTTGAGAGGCTTTGTGCCTTTAATGTAGATCTGAGTATTTCCCCTCTGATTTGATTTCCTAGCAGTTCTTGGTTTAACTTAGCAACATGATGCAAGCAAAGCATCCTTATAGAGAGGTCAGTATATGTTGTTCATATTTTGATATGAAGTTTCTCAACCTTGTTTCATGCCTGATTTCTAAAAACAAAAAGAGATGTTTAAAATGGTCATTGCCTTACTGGAGCAAAACTGAGCATGCCTGATGCTCTAGTATTTTCATTTTCTACAAAAATGGTTTAGCTCTTGGAGTTCTACTTATTTGATGGTGCTTGCTGGTGTTTGTGGATGGATTTTTTTAGTGTTGTGGGCAGGAGTACTCTGTGTTAACATATGAGCGTTCCATCAGGGAAGAATTCTTTTTGGGATGGTGAGGAGTTAGTTTTTTAAACTCAAATCTCCCCAGCAGAGGATGTTTGAGTTTGATTTCCAGTGAGCCCCACGAGGTTCTGTGCTCTTGGCACAGCAGGTAGGCAGTGTCTCCGGCACAATGGCTCAGGGTGACTCAAGGAGAGCACGCAGCTGAGCAGTTTCCTTGCATGCCCTTACCTGCCCTACTGCAAGATATTTGCTCACTCTTTTCTTAAAACTATCTGGCTATTATTCTGGTGTATGGTATTAATAATCATATACTTACCACACAGACATCTCCATTCTTATTTACAAAAAAAAAGAAAAAAAATTTATTCGCTACAGTAATTCTGGAACTTTGTGCTCTTTTCTAAAATTCCTTAGTATATGTTGTCAGAGTCAGTGCTTTGTCAGGTTGGAGAAATGGGCTGACAGGAACCTGGTGTAGTTTAACAAGGGAAAGTGCCAAGTCCTGCACTGGGGAGGAACCACCAGGCACCCGTGTGTGTGGGGCCTGCCTGGCTGGAAAGCAGCTTGGCAGAAATGTCCCTGGGACACCCAGCTGGCCATGAGCCATCCCTGTGCCCCTGCAGCAAAGAGGGCTGATGGTATCCTGGGCTCATGAGGAAGAACCTTTGCCAGCAGGTGAAGGGAAGTGATCCTTCCTCTAGTACTGCACTGGTGAGGCCTCAGCTGGAATGCTGGGTCAGGTCTAGGCTCAGCAGCCTCCCAAGATGAGAGATGAAGGTGCTGGAGAGAGTGCAGTGAGGGACCACAAAGATGGTTGGAGGAGATTGGAGCAGCTCTTCTCTGGGAAAAGGCTGGGAGACTGAGACTGTTCAGACTGGAGAAGAGAAGGCTCTGGGCTTCTCATCAATGCACATAAATACCTGAAGGGAGGGTGTAAAGCAGATGGGGCCAGCAACATTCCAGTGGTGCCCAGTGTCAGGAACACAAGCACACACTGAAACATTTCAAAGATGCTATACCTCAACCAGATGTGTCTGAATTAGTATTTGGTATTATGGGTTACTCCTAAAATATATCCACTAAATTGCAATTAAACTAAGCAAGAATGCAGGTCAAATTGTGAGGCCTTCTACTCTCTGGAGCCCCTGGATACAGTGCAGAAGTTGTCACTTGAAACTGATGGCAGGTACCAAAAGAGAAACTCAGCAAAACTACTGCAAGTGAGTTGTCCCACTTGGAACCTGATCTGTGCTAGTAGTGAATGCTGGCAGAGTGGTCAGGCTGGCTGGCTGCAGTAGTGGCTTTGCCATCAGCAGCATTTTTGTCAAAATGTTGACTTGTGCTTAGTGCAGGACCCTGATTTACCCTTCCTGTGCTTCATGTGCTTGTTGTCCTGCTGGCAGCAGATTGGGGAGCACAACCCAGCACTAGTGACCTGTGTATAATACCTTGAGATGTCCTGAAGAGAGCAGTACTCTTTGAACCTGACAGTTGAATTTGCCTTGTCTGTCAGGGGCCTTTTCTATAAGCCAGATGACTTGCAAAACATAGATACTTAACATAATTTGTATTTCCATGTATATGGATTATCTCATATTTAGCCACCTGTTTAATCCTGTAAATTAGTTCAGCTCTTCAGTTTCTCCAGGAAAAAAAAAAAAATCTGTCTTGACATACTGAAATGTGAACTCTTGTGGAGCACATGTATGAGCATGAAACTGTCTGAGGCCTAGAAATTTTTTCTCTAATACTGCAGAGATGTGATAAGGAAAGGCAGTAGGAAGGAAGGGACTGGAATAAGAAATATAATTATTTCAGCAGAGAAAAAGAACAATATTTTGAAGTGTTGTGTTATGTTCACCTCTTAAGTGTATGGAAGAATACTTCTAATTGATCAGCTATGAAAGTCAGTATTACTTGAAAGTTTTAGCAGTATGTTTTCTGGAAGAATTTGAGGATGAATTTGGTCAAGAACTTTGTATTCCTGAACACCAAAAAGTAGCATGCAAAAAGTAAACAAGATATGGCTGATCTGTGACATCTACTAGAAGACAGCTGACAAAAATAATACTGTATTAAATCAAGGGAAAGAGCAGAGAGTTATACCTCTTACCAATGAGCTTTTTGAAATATGATTTTTCTGAGACCACATCTTGCTAACCTGTATGAGTAAGCTTGAACTCGGTGTGTTGTTCTCTTCCCTGTTATCTTGTTCATCCCTCTGTGTCACTTTTTGTTGGTGATCTCGTAGGCATCGGAAAAGCTCGAGATTCTCCTTTTGCGCTGCTGTGAGATGAAAAACTGTCCCAAGTGCCATTTCCTTTAAGCAAAAAGAGCTACAAATGATGCATGGGAGATTTGTCAACTGCATACTGATGAAGCTTGGGTCAGTCTCAAAGATATTTATGGCTGACATGAGTCTCTTTGCCTTTTTTTCTTTATCTCCAGTGAAGAATGCGAGACCTAACAGCTCAGGTAACGAGCAGTCTGCTGCAGTTTCCAGAGGTGACTGTTGAGGCACTTGGGGAGGATGAGATCACCCTAGACTCTGTGCTGTGTGGGAAGTTTTCTGGAGGTGAGCATTTTTGCATTTTCCTTTAAATTTGGATTTGGTGTGAAGTTGTTGTTGCCTGAAGCACAGGGTTATGGCATCAGGTTGGTTTTGTTAAGAAAAATGGATCAGGTGTTCTGACAGTGCTACCAGGATATTTTAACAATTAGAAGCATTGAAAGTGCAACAGCCTGCTCCAGTCCTGTGCTATTTAAATAATATAGCTGACCATGCCCTCCTGAGTTCTGAATGAAATGGAAGGCAGTTTTCAAGGAAGAAATCGTGTTGTTTTGGGACAAATTTCTTTTTACCAGCTCATGTGTTTCCAAGGTATTTAGTAGGATGCAGATTGAGGACCCAGTGAGAGTGGCTGACAACAGCTAAGCAGATTAGGCAGTTGACTTTCTAGGTGATCTGAAGGTAGGGCTGGAGGCCTGTCTGGATGTCTGGGCTTCTGTGAAGACCAGGTAGAATCTTATCTACCTGGCTGTAGTTGCTGTAATGGAGCTCATCCTTCCTTTGAGCTTAAAGTCCCTCAGTAGAGGAGCAAGAGTTAAACTCTTTGGTGAAACACCACTTGTTAAATTCTTTCTGGGATCAGCTCATGTAAAAGTTGGAATTACATATGCAGTGCCCATTTTAAGAGAATTTCCTGTCCAAATCGCTGCCCAGAGTAGTCATGTGTCAAGCAAAATTCTTAAACTGGAACTGAATTGGTTTAGATGGGCTGCATTTGAAGTATGCTTTGAGACTTGTATTCCTGTACATATTTGGGTGTTCTTTAGCAAAACCAGGCCAATTATGGTGTACAGACTAGAGCCCAGTCTATTGTAACCTTTATCCCAAAGAGTGAATGTTCTTGAGTGCAGGACTGTCAAGTACAAATGCAAAAGAATGGGGTTACTAATTTTAAGAAGTGTTGGTTGAGGATTGCAGTGGGTGATTTAAAATGATTGTCCAGGTGTGGTGGGTTGGCCTTTCCCTCTGTGGCATTTGAGGGAAGGGCGCGGTGGCCTGGCTGTTGTTGCAGTTGTGCTGCTGGCACTTGGTGAGCGCTGCTCGTGTTGCCCTGCAGGCAGGAGTGGCCTGGCGTGGCTGGCGTGTGGCCCCCAGCTGGAGGTGGTGAACTCGGTGACAGGAGAGCGGCTCTCTGCCTATCGCTTCAGCGGGGTCAGCGAGCAGCCTCCCGCCGTCCGCGTGGTGAAGGAGTTCTCCTGGCAGAAGAGGACTGGGCTCCTGGTTGGCTTGGAGGAAGCAGAGGGAAGTGTTCTCTGCCTGTACGACCTTGGGATCTCAAGAGTGGTTAAAGCAGTTGTTCTTCCAGGAAGGGTATGTATCTTTTTGGGGAAATGAAGGTTTTGTGTTGTTTGGTGCTGCATAATCCTGTTTCAGGAAAAGCTCTTGTGCATCTCTTTGTATGACTTATCCTTTTTATATTGCTTTAACATATTGTCAGTTCAGATTATCCAGTCAAGAGAGCCTTGATGTAAAATCTTGGACTTGGCAGTTGCATTATCCTTTGAGCTTACTGATAGTAAAAAAACCATTGTAGAGCATATAAATACGAAATTCTCCACTTTAAAAAAATAAGGCATTGAAAACCTTTATTGTTTTTTCAGAGCAAAAAGGAATACTCAACTTAAATTGTCTGTAATATTCCTTTTCTAAATGGCTATTTTCTGTCAGGAATACTGTCCTTAAAGTATCTCTGACTCCCAGCATTGTGCCGTTAGTGACTTTGATACATTCCCATCAATCTCAGACTAGGAAGCAGGTGACGTGGGAACAGAACAGATTTTTCTGTTAACTTAGGATTGGAAAAAGATTTTAGTGAGTTATCTGTCAGATAGTTGGCAGATTTACTTTCAGTGTGCAGTCCTTGAGTCTCTGCTTGTTGAATATAGTGTTTGTGTAGATGGGATACAGTGGTTTAATGTCGGTAATTTTTTCTGCCTTCTGTAACCCTTGAATTCAAATGATGTTGTGTCCCTGGGCCTCATTAACACAATGGAAACGAAAATCAGATTAAGTTATCAGAACATCAAGATTCACTGCATTTTTATCATCTTAGAATCTGCAGCTAATAAATACTTATTTATTTACTACTCAGTTTTCCCTAACATTATGTGGTTTGACTTACTAGAGTACAGGTCAAAGTCTTGTTAGTAGTAGTAAGCATTTGTGTTAAGTTCTAAAGATACAAGTAATGTCAGTGTTCCAGTGTGTTGTTTTGCTATGTGCTCAAGTTGTAGATGGAAAAGCAGGCTGTGTGCTCGCATGAACTTAAAATAAGTAAATTATGTTTTGGTAAGTGATGTTGGTGTGTTAGATTTTACTTCTGTCTAAGTAAGCTAGGAAAAAGCAAAGGTTGAGAGGTAAGAACTATGTTGCACATTGAATCCATAGCTGTGGAAGTGTTTTGAAGTAGAAGTTAGTTCCAACAATCAGTTGTGTTAGAGAGTTGTTCTATACCACAAAAACTGATGCAGGAGCAGAGATGAAGCCCTGTAAGAAAGAGTTGGTTGTTGGGTGATGAAGGGTAGGAATTTTGAAATAAAGCCAAAGCTGCTCTGAAGGTTTTGCTCTTATGCCCTGAGCTCATAACTGTTGCTTATGTTTTTCTTCCTATGTCTTTGGTATTGTGTTAGTTCATAGTCAAGACACAGGTATTGCTAATTGGAGTCTTAACTTTCAGGCTATGAGTGGGAGTAAGGGTAAGCAAAAACAAGAAGATAAAACGTGCACTTGGCTGCTGTCCATATGTTTTGAATTCTTTCAGAAACTCATATTTGCATATTATGTAATGTATTATTTGGGGGGGATTGATTTGTATGAATGTTTCTCTGATTTTCAGATTGATTATTTTTAAAGGTAAAATGTGGTTCTTAACATTACTTTCTGCAGTTCTGTCTTTAATCTTTTAAACCTTTAATGAGCACTGTGTTTTTGGGACTATTTTGTCAACAGGTATAAGTTCTGTTTACAGCTAAGTTGCACAGTTTAATTTAGAGCAACTGCTCCAAGGTGTCAAGTTGTTAGTGTATTAATACAGGATGTTTATTGTGACTGTATGAATGCTTTTTAGTGTAAGTATGGATGTTGAGTTGTTCAGAGAATAAATAAATCAGTTAAAAAACCCAGGCTCAGGAGCTTAGAAAGAATTTTGGCATAATGTCTTTGCATGTGTCTGTGAGCGTCTCTCTATGCCCTCTTGATGTGTGTATGAGATGCAACAGGAGACTGACAATGTTGATGAGTGTGATTTGAATTGGATTCTGAATTAAAAACATGAAGTACATCAAATTGGTTTCTAACAGTTGCACGTTTCAGAACTGTTGCATGGTATTTTCCCAAATTTTCCTGGTTCGTATGAGGCAGAAGGGCAGCATTCAGATTCAGTGAGCTGAGAAAAGTTTTCTTTGTTCTTTCCCAGAATGAGTTGGCAAAGCACTAGGAGAATAGGAAAAAGCAGTGCATAGCATAGTGGAAAAAATGTCATTTCAGGAGCTTCTACATGGAAAATTGAAGTAATCAGGGAACATTTTTGGAAGCCTATGCAAAACTAGTAAAGATTCATTTGGAGCCAGTTGTACAATGAGGAAAATAACTTGAAAAGAGCTCACAAGCAACACTTCAACTTCGGCTAATTGCACAGAGAGATTTGTTCTGTGTTTCCTCTTCGGTCACCAATGCTTGGAACGCACGAATCTGAGTAATCAAAATACTTTCATTAGTCCTCGGAGCAGCAGAGCGGATTAAAGATTTAATTTGAATCATAAGAAATGTGAAAGAAAACCAAGTTTACTAAGTAGCTACAGATACTTCTAAGGTTGGAGTTCTTGGGTTCAAGGTGAAAGGTGGATTGTATAGCAGTGGCCAGGCAAATGCAGTCATAAGCAAGTGCTTGATACAGGATAGAAGAAAACCTCAGGGACCCTATAATTTTGGATATTTTTCCCATTTCTGGGGTAAATAAGCTGCATAACAAGATGGACTACCTTGTGACGCCCACGTCTTTGTTTCAGACAAACCTGTGTTGCTGATGTAAAGCTGTCTGCTTTCATGGTGCTGCATTTGTAAGAGGCCATAAGATAGCCCCTGTTCCTGTGTTGTCCTGCTCCTTGAGTGCAGGAGCCCTGGTGTGCCTGTGTCTCTGCTGGAGCAGTCACTCTTGTCCTGGCTGTGCTGTGGGTGCTGCAGGGTCTGTTCACCTTGTGCTGAGGTCGTGAGGAGTGCTTGGCCTGTCAGGGAGCAGAGAGAGCTCCTGCCTCAGGCTGAGCAAGTTCTTGTTTGGTCTCTTGCTGTTGGTTTAGGCTGCTTTTTACAGTTTGCCTTGCCATCTGTAAGAGTGCTGGTGTGCGTTTAGAATTTTTGTTGGATATTATCAGTCAAAGTGAGAGCCAGGGTAGATTTTAGTTATTCAGCATCTCCCTCCAGCCCTTTCTAGGAATGTTTCATTCCCATGGAAATGGTGTATCTGGTGTACCCCACAGCCACTGCCTTGTATCGTTGCAGCGCTGATTTAGCTTACAAAATGCAGGGTAAAGAGGGCCTGGACTGTATCACAGTACTGATTGATTGACTTTGAGTAGTGGGAGAACTAGATCTAGCTTTGCCTTTATTATTTAAGTCCTTTACACATGGTAAACCTTCTAGCATGTAATTGATTTCATGTCTCTTCTTAGATGCAATTATTTCTAAGTAGGAAATGGAAACTGGTAAGCTGTAAAGACGGAATATGCCATTTAAGTGGAGAGAGCTTTTTTTCTATTAATTTCCTTTCTGCTTGATACAATAGGGAGCAGTGATTTGGTTTTAAGTCTTACGAACCTGTATTTGCTGTCCTGTTTCTGATGTGCTGGTGCTGGCTTCCCTTCTGAGGGTTCCTCCTGGGGCTGTC